AATCAGTTATGTTGAATTTTTTGAAATCTATTTCGTGATATGAGCCCAAAAATGTTGTTCCGAATATCAAACCTGGTACATGTTAAGGAGCTAAAAGCCCGCAGTTTGTCAATTAGTTAAATTTTCTACCTTTTCTGGATGCCTGGTAGGTTTGAGCAATTTCTGAAAAAAAGTAGAAAGTTGCCCGCAAAAAAAATAAAAATTTCGAAAAATTTTGGTCTGGCAACACTCTACCAACGAAAAAATTCGAGCGCCTACACATTTTGTAATTTCTTTGTACGGCATTGCCAGATGCAATTTTTTACATTTTTTTTGGCGGGCTACTATCTATTTTCTTCTGGGCGCCTGGTATTTTTGTGAAATTTGCACAAAAAATGTCTACAACCAGGTGAATAAAAAATTGTGACGTCATCACACAAATTATGTCGCATGCGTAGGGGCATTTAAGCTTACCATATTTGTTGTATCCGTAAATAAAAACAAGTAGTATTTGTAGTAAATTAATAATTCTTTATTTTTTATTCTATATTCTATATTTTTATTCTATATACTATATTCTATTTGGACTATATTCTACTGTAATCCTTCCTTGTGGAATTTGATGATTGGGAGATGAGTATAGAGATGGCTGACTGATTTAACGATTCATCAACGCCCAGACGAAACGGCTTTAGATAGAATCTTGAAATTTTGGGTGAGGGTCATTCTTGGTCCAAAGGTGACAGATAAGGCTGGGTTTTAGGAAATTCGCACTAGAACGGTACAAAAAGTACTCAATGTGATGATGATGATTTGTATTTGGCGAACCGGTAGAGCTAGAATTCATACATTTTAAATGAGGGTCATGGAGTGTAGAATAGATATATCAAAGGGTTTTTTTTTTTGAACATTCGAACTATAAGTATGCGAAAAGTACTAAATTTAGTACAATTTCGTAGCATGTAAATGAATAGAGCTAAAAACTAGAAATTTGGAATGCAAATTAAGGTTGAGAAGCAGGGTCGATATAAGGAGCTGGCTTTGGAAGCGTGTACTTATGTATACGAAAAGTAATATATGGTACTATATTCGGTACAAATTTGAATTTGGAGATACAAATCGAGTTGGAATCTTGAAAATTTAAATTAACATTATTGTCAAAGTGTAGGATTGGGATATATACGTAGTTTTGGAATTTTTTTTACTTATGTGTACGAAGAGTACTAAATCGTACTATAATTGGTACAATTTGGATTTGGGAGAACCGATAGAGCTGGAACAATTCAATTTGGAGCCAGGATCACTGTTGAGGTGTAGGATTATGGTATGTGGAGAATTTCGAAAATTCGTACTAATGTGTACTATATGGTACCAAATTTGGATTTGGGTGAACCGATAGAGCTGGAAGCTTTATATTTGGAGTTAGGATCATTGTTGGGGTAGAATTTAGCTATTTAGGAAATTTTTGAAATTCCTACTAATGTGAACTAAATTTTGTACAATTTAAATTTTGAGTGAACCAATTGAGCTGGGAACCTTGAAATTTGGAAATAAGGTTACTGTTAGAGTGCAGGACTGGGGTATGGATGTAAATTTGGAAATTCATACATATGGGTACTAAATTTGGTACAATATGAATTTTTGGTGAACTGATAGAGCTAGAATCCTGCAATGTGGAGTTACGATCATTGTTGGTAGTAGTATTGAGCTATGTAGAAAGTTTTGGAAATTCGTACTAATGTGTACTAAATGGAGCTGGAATATTTAAATTTGACGTTAGAATCACTATTGTGTTTGGCTTTGTAGTAAGTTTTTGAAATTCGTGCTAATGTGTACTAAATTTGGCACAAATTAAATTTTTGTTGAACCAATACAGCTGGAATTCTGAAATTTGGCCTTAGTGTTAATGTTGGGATGTAGGATTGGGCTACGTAGAATATTTTGGACATTTATACTAATGTGCACTAAATGGTACCAAATTTGGATTTGGGTGAACCGGTAGAGCTGGAATCTTGAAATTTGATGGTAGGATCACTGTTGGAATGTAGGATTGGACTTTGTAGGAAGTTCTGGAACTTCATACTTATGTGTACTAAATTTTGTACAATTTAAAATTTGAGTGATCCAATACAGCAGGAATCCTAAAATTTGGAGTTAGGGTTACTGTTAGGGTATTGGATTAGAATATGTAGAAAGTTTTGGAAATTTATACCAATGTGTACAAAATGGTACCAAATAAGGATTTGAGTGAACCGATAGAGCTGGAATCTTGAAATTCGATGGTAGGATAACTGTTGGAATGTAGGATAGGACTTTGTAGGAAGTTGGTACTAATGTGTACTAAATTTTGTACAATTTAAATTTTGAGTGAACAGTTGGAGTGTAGTATTGGTCTATGTAAGAAGTTTTGGAAATTTGTACTAATGTGTACAAAATAGTACCAAATGTGGATTTGAGTGAACCGATAGAGCTAGAATCTTGAAATTTGAAGTTAGGATTACTGTTGGGGTATAGGATTGGGCTATGTTGGAAGTTTTTGAAATGTCTAGTAATGTGAACTAAATGGGACTAAGTTTGGATTAAAAGCTAACCGATAGAGCCGGAATCCTCAAAATTGAGTAATAAGATTTCCATTGGAAGGTATGGCAATTTATATTAATGTTTTCTAACTGGTACTTAATTTTGATTTGGGTGAAGCTATATTTGAAATTTGGAAATTTTACACGAGTACAAAGGGTAACAAATTACAAAAAATTCAGTATAGAGCTAAATTTCTTTTGCGACCAGAATTGACGTGTAGGGTTGAGATATGGAGGTAGTGTTGGAAAAAAGTACTATGAGAAAACGTAGGTACTAAATGATTCCAGAAGTGTTAATAATGTTTGGTATTGAGTTGTTAATACTTCCCACATTCGCTAACGAAGTAGTGTAATAAATTTGGTACAGTTTCGATTTGGGTAAACCAATAGTTCTGGAACAATGAAATTGGGAAAACAATTTAACTATGGGATTGTATGATGAATGCAGTTATTGAAATTTGAACTTAAGTGTACTAAATGGTACTAAAAATGATATAATTTGGTGAACCGATAGAGCGATAGAATTCTGAACGTTGTTGGAGTGTAGAATAGGGGTTTGTAGAAAGTTCGTACTTATGTGTACTAAATTTGGTACAATTTTGAATTGGGCAAACCGATAGGACAATATAAAATTGGACTTTCAATGTTAGGTTTTCAGATCCCATGCTTCTTTGGAACAAATTCGTTGCAGACAGTTTGGAGTCGATATACAAATGTCCGTCCATCCGTCTGTGTGTCTGACTGATGCGCATGACAACTCTCGAAGGGTGTAACCGATTTCATGCAAACCTTGTATATCGCATTTTTTTTTTGCTAATCTTTATAATATGATGATGCAAATTAATATTGTAATATCTTGCGAACGGACTACCCGATATCAACCAATTTATTAACCATGCTTGTATAATTTTGTAAAATGGGACATATCGGTTCATTCCTATTTTGAGTACCTCTCACACAAAGTGTCAACATTTTGAGAACTATCACATGAAGCGAGCGGAATATCCTTAAATGCAGTAAATTAATATCAGCTAGTCGAGATATGATATGATCGGTATACTTATACATGAGTGTACGACCAATATTTCTCGGCCTTACAAACTCTTGGACCCTTACAAAATAGTTGTGTAGTTTATAATTATTATGATTATCTGTAGAAGTTCATCGTAACAATGACCGCAAAATACATAAACTAGAATATCCTGTAAATATGAACTGAAAGCCATCCTTTGAATGCGGCTATTATTTCCAAAGACACATTTCAAATTCTCCGTTAAATTGTGTCCTTTATATACTTCCAAATATAGAGGGTGCTTTTTAAAGGATAATTTTCAAGCCACAAACCAATCCAATGAATGCAAAAGCTCTCTATCTCAACTTCTCCCTCATACAACATGTTTGCCACAAAACCAATTGGAAAGCTACAACAACAACAAAATACAGAACCTTTCCCTTTCAATCATACCAGCATGTCATCCACCATCATACCACCAACTCATTTTAAGGACCAACCAACAAAGCTCACACACTGACACGTACCAACAACCAAACAAACCAACAACATAAAACGAGAGGACACAACGAACGACACACAACCATTTCGTCGTATGCCGGGTGGTGTGCTAGTAGTTCAGTGTGTTGCCTATGGGTTGATACACTCGAAACGTTGTCCTTGCTGCTGCCGGTATTGGTTACGCTGCTCACTGGCTTACTCTCACTCTCGTAGAGAGGGAAATTAAAGCGGCATTCCATACCTCGTGTTTGTTGCTGCCACTATCGTGGTTAGTGTTACTACTGCCGCTGTCGTTGGTGTTGCTGCTGCTAATAGCGTCATTGTTGTTGCTGTTGTTAATGGTGGTATGGCATTGCGTGTGTGTGTTGTTTCTGTTTCTGATTAAATGAGCCGAACGGAGTCAGAGTCAGTAGCAAGGACTCACTTAAAGTGCTCACATCACCGTTTTGTGTGACATTCACAACGCAACGCGACGATTTAAATTTGAAATTTATTTCATTCTTTAATTTTTTGTGAATAGATTTAAGGACACATTAAATCTAGAAAAAGAAACAACAAAAACCAATTCAATTGGTTTGAACAATTTACGAACAGCCGAATCCTGTGGTCATTAATTTGCTTAGCAAATCGAAATTAAATTCCTAAATTCTTTCAAAAAAGACAAAATTAAATTGAATCTTCAGCAACCACTTCGTTTTATGTGTGTTTGTCATACACGACGTGGCTGTGGTCGTGGTCGTTCATTTTTAGATTTGTTTTACTAGTGTTAGTGGCGTGGCCTGACTTGGCGTGGAACTATTCTAAACTATTCAGAATTTGCTAAAAAAAAGAATTCAAAGCCAAGCCTTTTCTTTTGTGAAAAAAGTGAAATCTGTGAATTTTTAAATTTCAGAATTAATTCTGAATATCAATTTTTTGTGTTTTTTACGGTTTTAATTAAACGGCCTCAAAATTAACTACTCAAAGTATCATCATAACGCTATGTCGTTATCCGCCATAGCAAAGGTAAGTAGTAGCCCATACCCTAAATTCCATAACCCCACCTCATCTTCTATATAGAATATAGAATTTTTCCAAATCGTCGTCAAACATCGGAAACCGGAACTTGAATTTTGTTGCTGGCCCACAAACCTCCCCAAAAAAGTTTCAATGCTAAACGCCATTAGATGTGTGGTGTGGTCATGGTCTTGAATCAGATGGTTGGAGTTGCTATGTCGGTTTTTTATGCCTCCTCTTCATCTTCTGCTGCTGCTTATTTTTTCCCCAAGGATTGATTGGCTTTGTACTTTGAACTCTAATCCAACTAGCGACCACTGCGCATGCCTGGCAAAAAAAATGGAATTCAAATACATTTCGCAACTCATACTCTCGTTCGCAGCACATTGTAGTTGATTTTTTTTTTTTTTTTTGCAAATTTCCAGAGTTACCAAATATTATTGTTTTGTTTTTTATCCTTGTGGGATTATTTAGAAAAAGTTATGAACTGGGATGAGAGTTCCACGAAAGCTTTTCACACAGGAAGTTCTTGCTTAGCTATTTTTAGGATTTGATATTAAAACTTTTATGTTGCTAACTAACAGTTTTTGGGGGAAATAATCCCCAAAGATAAGTGAGGAGGATTAGGGTTTTAATATCCGGAATATATAGGGTTTTTTTTTCATGTTAAACTTTAAAACAAATAGTTTTAGATTATTGATCAATGCATAGTTTTATGCAATTTTATGTATACAACGAATTTAAGGAAATGTCTTTACTTCGTAAATTTTTAGCTAAGCTATGCGAAACTAAACACAAACTAACAATATGAATCGAATGAAAATGTCCAAAATGCTCTTCGGAACTTCTCCAGAAATTTGGCAAGTTTTATAAGTAAATTCTAAAAAGTATACCAGTTTGTTTTAATAGACAGTGGGGAAATGAAGAAATTCTCCTGGACATCATTCATTTAAATTGTAACTCGAAAACGGTTGTACCTATCGGTTTCAAAAAATGTGTAGGTAATCATTTTGGTCGATTTTTTTTTTAATTTATTCGACGTTTTTATTAATTTTTATAATTCTATTTACCATTTTCAAAATTGCCAATGCTTCCCGACAAAAACAAAATTATTTTCTAAAATATTATTTTTAATTTTAAGAAGGTACAAATTGCACAAAGTCTGTCAAACTCAACGTTCTCTAATTTAAAGCTACCAAAATCGGTTATTTGGTACAGCTCCCTTATATAGTTAAAAAGTAAATGATGCACAAAAGTCCTAAAGTTAGGGTGATTGATACGAAATTTTTTGAAGTTAGTATAACCTACTGTGTGGAAAATTTCGGTTCAGATTTAGATAAAGCTCCCATGTATATTTTCGTCCGATTGTAAGTAAGTAGTGCTCCAAGGACCCAAAATTTAGCATCGAAGTCCCAAAATATGATCTATTGCCACAAAAATTTTGAGGAACGCACTGAAGTTTATGTGGGCCTTACGTGTATTTACGTGTTTAATTCGATGTCAATGTCCTTCAAAAATGCGAGTGGTGAAGGCTATCAGATAGTCCGCCCGTCCAACTTTACTACTTACCTTATTGCTTTTTTTGTAAGAATTATTGAGATCATACTGTATCATAGTAATACCCTAGAGCCCCGAGTTGATTCATTAAAAGTTGTCGAAAAACGCTACGCAAATAAAATCCCAAATTTTCGGATCATCCGATCCTTTATACCCTCCACCATGTTGTGGAAATTAAAAATATCCATAACCGATCAGGATTTTTAGGAGAAAATTAAATAACAAATTTCTTAGATATAATACCTTCAACATACCAAAACTGACGCGTGACGTTTGGAAAATTTGTCAGCAATCCTCAAAATACAGAACAGTGGGGTTACATATGACGGATATACCACAATGGGGACCAATATTGACAATTTTAGATTATGAGATTCGGTTGAAAAACGTGTGCAATATTCCCAAAATACCGAATATTGGGGGTACCGTTGTATGGGTCTTCACCAAAACGCCGATATATCGAATGTACAACACCAAGCAGCCAAGGAGTGCTAGCTATGTCTGTTCGAAATTTGTATACTCTCCACCATAGTATGGAGGGTATTAGTTTTGTTTGTAACGCATCGGAACAATCATTTCCGACCCTATAAAGTATATATATATATTCTTGATCAGCGTAAAATTCTATGACGGTTAAAGCATGTTCGTCTGTTGTAATCACTCTAGCGTCTAAACGAATTGAGATAGATCTCAATTATAAATATAGGTCCATTTTTTCGGATAGCCCCCATATAAGTGTACCCCAAATTTTCGATATTTTGGGGTTCATAACTGAATTCACTGAAATTTTGTACATTGCGTTCTTATTGGGTACAAAATTACTCCACTAAAAATAATAAATATAGGTCCACTTTTTCTGGTAGTCATCATATAACGGTTCCCCCAAATTTTCGGTATTTTGGGGGTTCTGATCGTATTTTTCGACCGAATTGACTGCAATTGAGTACTTCGAGTTCTTATTAGATAGCAAATCTCCCCACTAAAAGTTATAAATATAGGTTCATTTTTTCGGGTAGCCCCCATATAAGGGTACCCTCCAATTTTCGGTATTTTAGGGTTCTTGAACGCGTTTTTCAATCAAATTCTTTGTAATGTGGTTTTTTTTTGTAGTCGTATATGGTTACAAACCTCCCTCCCAAAAATGAATAATATTCGCCCCAATTTAGGGGTAGTCTTCATATAACCCCCTTTTTTATATTAAAATAGTTATCTGATTTGTTCCACGTTTTGAGTTGGGTTCTAGGACTTTAGGAAGAAGTTATTGTGATGCAGAAATTTTAGTTTCGAATTGAGCTATATCAGTACTCAATTAAGCATAGCACCTCATATAATGATAACTTCAAATGTTCGGTAATTCTTATACGATGTCATCAATATTCGTCCCGCTTATGATATCGTCTCCAGGGAGGTACTCATACACATTTTTTTGCAATGACAAATTTCACATTGAACCAGCTGGTTCCACACAACTCCCGAAATAAAAGCTGGGTACGTGGTGATGGCCTTATATAATTGTGCCCTCTAAATTGCAGAATTTTGGGAATATTCCACCCTTATCGCCAATATCAGCCCACTTTTTCTTGTTTTTAGGAAAAATCTCCATTAAAAATTGCTGAAATTTTTATTTGGTGTACATTATGGTTTACACAAATCGGTTTGTAAAAATGTCGGTATATGTTCACTTTTGGGTATGTTCCCTATATAGGGTACCCAAAGTTCGGCCCGGCCGAACTATATGCTTTTTTCACTTGTTTTAACTTAGTTTGCGGTTAAAAAGATCAAAAGTTAATTTTTGTTCAAGGTCAATAATCCTAGTTCATACGAGATCTAGACATGCATTCTTTCTAATTCCGTTGGAATTTTCGGGTTCGGATTCGGATAAAGATTTTTCTTTAATTATAAGAAACATTTTGTAAATTGTTTTGTTCACTTTAAATTAGATATACCTCCCATATATAGTTTCGTCTGATTTAATGGTATACCCAACGCACAGTTTGATGTAAGTAAAGTTTTGTTGAAATCGGTTTAGATTTAGATATAGCTCCCAAAGCTTCGTTTGATTTTATGTGAGTGGTACTTCCAATTTTTTTACGATTAAGACGAAATTTGGCAGAACGTGTCAAATTAACTAAGATATAGTGTGTTAAGTTTAATTGGAATAGGATTAGATATATATTTCCGATTTTAATAAAAGGGTGAGTTTGCTCCTAGCGAGATGAAATTGTGGACAGCGCACTGTGCTGCGGCATACTAAATGGTGTATACCACAGTTGCTCAATTAGGCCCTGATTTATATATAGCTCCCATACATGATAGTGCTTGATTTCATACAAGTGGTACACCAAATCTGTCTGCCCGCTTGACGTGCAATTTTTCATAGATGGCGGTATATATATATATATCGATGTAAATCACATATTTAATTTCGCCCGATTTCATTTCAGTGGTCCTCCAACGATGCTATGTATGTTCTATCTACAATATATTGTATGTACCCAAAGTGGTGAGGGTACCATATAGTCGGCGGCGTCCGACTTTTGAACTTTCCTTAGTGGTTGGTTAATTTGTTTGTCGTGCTAAAAAATTAAACTTGTAAGCGCTATTGTGAGCTGCCAGAAATATTAATTGCAGACCTCGACTCATCTCCTCGCAAACGTTCACCACTTACAAATATAATTAGAATTTCCTAAAAAAAAATAAATTTGTCCTATACTACATACAAATTCAAACTTTAGCAGTGTCATAACATAAAGATCCGCACACACTACTTTAAAAACTTCCATTTCATTTACTTTTATTTCCATAGTGGTATCAAACGCTATTCTTTGACATCATTAATGTAGACACAAGCATCGATGAGTGTACATGAGTACATTTCCGACGAATCGATTTGCAAAATTTTTGAGCTAATCTAGAACAACCAAAAAATCGAAATAGCTGATTTTTTTATCAGACCTCTATACGTCAAAATGTGTAATTTTCACATACAAGTCCGAGTCAAAAGTTGACTAATGGACATCAAAGCAGCCATTACAATATTTTCTTCCCCGGGTAAAATTCGTGATATTCGGGTCATAGGTGTAATCACAATGGAAAGACGGACAGACACACATAGCTAGGACATCTCCGATCGTTAAGATATAACGAATTACTTAAATACAATATTTATTAAAAATGCCGGTATGAGGTTGAGTGTGTACTAATGTATTATAGGTGGTTTAAGATATGTGGAAATAAATGGGGATTATTGAGATAATTTTTGTTGAAAAAAAACGATATAAAATTTAAAGAAGCATTGATTTTTTGAAATGAAAAATAATTTTAGAACTAAATGCTCTAGTTCGAATTACTTAAATACATTATTTAATTCCCTAATCAAACTATGTATCGTTTAAGTAATTCGAACTAGAGCATTTAGTTCTGAAATTATTTTTCATTTCAAAAAATCAAGG